GCTCCGCCGGCCCCGGCCCGCCCCCCCCTGGCTCCCCCGACGCTCACTGCGCTGCATCATCGGCCACGGGCACGGCCCGCTGCCGCGACCCGAAAGCACAGGGTCGGCCTCACCGTTCAGGCCAAGCCTAAGACCGGCTTAACATCCCAGGCCGGTCTTAGAGCACTGCTGAACTTAAACAACACTTTCGTTTCAAGGGTAATCATCTCATGGAAGAGAAGTTGGTAGAAACAGTTCTGCTTCTCCTCTCGGGGCAACCTCTCAAGAGTAAGGTATGGGGACCTTACTGAAAGGTAAGACCTTACTCTGAAACCAAGAGTAAGGTATGGGGACCTTACTGAAAGGTAAGACCTTACTCTGAAACCAAGAGTAAGGTATGGGGACCTTACTGAAAGGTAAGACCTTACTCTGAAACCAAGAGTAAGGTATGGGGACCTTACTGAAAGGTAAGACCTTACTCTGAAACCAAGAGTAAGGTATGGGGACCTTACTGAAAGGTAAGACCTTACTCTGAAACCAAGAGTAAGGTATGGGGACCTTACTGAAAGGTAAGACCTTACTCTGAAACCAAGAGTAAGGTATGGGGACCTTACTGAAAGGTAAGACCTTACTCTGAAACCAAGAGTAAGGTATGGGGACCTTACTCTCGAGGGGACTCATGGACTCGGGGAGCTCCATGGTGGCAGAAGGCGGATGGAAACGGCAGGTTTGTATGTTGAGTTGCAGCTGCAAACACCATGCGGAAAGGTTTCAGGGGTCAGTCGGGACAGACAGCACCTACGGAGCAGCAATTCGGTGACCGCAAAAGGAGCCGAGAGGGAAACTGTGCCCTCCGCAGCGGGGCACTGGTGGCAGAGGAGAGGCGTCCCCTGAGCTGCGCGTGCGCCGCAAGGGAAATCAAAGCTCCCCGCTCCAGGCACCTGTGGCTGCGGCGCCTCGCTGTGCGAGGAGCCAGTGCCGAGGGCGGGCGCATCGAGGCGGTTTTATCTCCTGCCCCCGAAGCCCCCGGGGCTTCAGAGACGGAGTCAGCAGTGACGGCGCCCACTGGAACGGAAACTACGCAATTGCTGAACTAACTCTGCCCAGGCCGAAGCAGCGCCGGGGGTCCGCGTGCGTGCCAGTACTGCCGTCGGGGAGGAGGGGCTGGAGGTCAAAGGCCTGGAGAAATTCAGGCTCAGATCTCAGACAGCGATTCAGATCTGCTGCTTTTCAGCGCTGTCCGGGAGGCAGCTCTGAAACCAAGCCATGCCTCCGTCCTGCACCGCGACACCTCCACCCACGGGTCCCCCCGGCCCCGAGGGCCCCGCTCTGAGCCAGGGCATGGCTGAGATGCAGCCGAGGCGCTGGGTCTAGCGAGAGCGCTCCGCTCGCGCCCACTGCACGTCACCGCGGCTATTTTCATCCAGACCCAGTGGGGAGCAGGGGAGAGCGAGACCCCCTCACCGCGGGAGAGGGGAGCCCTGGGCTGTCCCCCTTGCTCCCAACGCGCGTCCTGCGTTTCATCCAGTGACTCGTACGTGCAAAATATTCAAGCCGCCCTGGAGCGAGGTGGCTGAATGTCTTTGG